TCCAGTCGTCGGTGGGTCGACGCCGGTGATCACCGGAATGGGGATTTTGCGACAATCCAAGAGTCATGTACGTAGCGCTATGCCTCCCAATCGGCCGTGTAGGACGCCATCCCTTGAACATAGTTCATAGCTATACGATAGCATCAGGTCAGTAAGGCCGCGAGACGATCAAGATGCTGCACTGACTGATGAAGGCACCATCTTGCTCGACTGGCTCGGTGAGGTTCAAGAATTGCTGGCTTTCCGGGAGTCCGTCGACATCCAACTTCCATACGCCAATCTGAAGGGTCTTTGCCAACAAGGTATACAGATAACTGTTGATGTTAAGCTCTACAACTCCCAGAGACAGATTATCGCAACACGTACCTGTGGTTGCTGACTGTCATTGCTACGGAGTCAATGGGGCCTGTGGTGACCGACCAGTTCTGTGCGGTGTAGTGAGTTTCGACCTGGAAGACATAGATTCGACAGAACGTACTGCGCCGACGGTGACAGCGAGATTGGAATCGACCTGGACTTCAGTGATCTGGTGGCCCGTGACGTCCATGACGTAGTATTTGTCTAGCAACTCGCTGTATGCGCTCCAGCATGTTGCATCTTGCCCGGGAACGGCTACTCCTATTGTGCGAGGGCTGTTATTGACACCTTCTATGCCGTTGCTGAAGTCATAGACATCGACACCGATGCTGAAGTCCGCAGAGAAGAAGGCATTCTGGCCGGGAATAGGAGTCAAACTGAAGGGATGTCCTCCTCCGGGAGCTGTCGCGATCTCTGTGAAATTCTCAGCGAGCTGCCCGTCATCGCCGATAGGCCAGGCGGCAAGGAATCCGGGACCGAATAGCGGGCCCTTCACAGCGGCGATGACGTTCTTCTCGTCCTGCGTGTACACCACTTGCGACGCTGCACCGAATGGACCGGTGGACGGAGTTGTTTCGTTGAGTCCCAGCGGTCGGAAGGTTCCGTCTTGGGGTTGCAGTCCATCCTTGGTCACGGTGAAACCTCTAGTGTCAGCGTCAGTCGGTCAATAGCCAGAAGACACTCTGCGAAGACGAACGCTATGCCGTTCACCGCTCCCGTGTTGAGCACCCATAGCTGGTCACCAGCCTTATTGAAGACGAGGGAGTTCGGAGCCTCTCCTCCAGAAGGGACAGGCTGCCCTAACATCGTGAGGCGACCGGGATCAGAAGGGTCTATTGCGAAAAGAACGACCGTGTGGTTGGCGGTCTGATAGGGATCAGTCCTATTGGGCGTCTCGGAGAAGAGTGCGAAGCTGATACTCACATTCACCGTCGCGAGGAGCCCATTGCCCTGATGAACTTGTACGACACCTTGCGAGAACGTTGCATCGGGATTGAGGGGCACCACAGGGCCGTTCGGGTCAACCAAACCATGAACGCCGGCGCCACCAGCAGATGCAACACCTGCGTAAATCTACAGGTGCGATGGTCAGGTCAAGCGATATCTCCGGTGGCGGACTACGTACTGGATTGCCGTTGGCATCAATGTTGGCGGCCACGACATAGTTGCCCTGCGGGTCGTTGGTGATGACTATGGGACGATCTGTTGAGTACGTCGGCTCATGACGAGAAGCCAGGCGGAGGCTCACAGTAGAGATAGTTGGGCGAGAGAGACTGTCGTCGATATGGGGAAGCAAAGGCACTTGTCGCAAGAACTATAGTTGAAAGAAGAGTCGTGAACATCGAAGCACAAGCGCTCGTGAAAAAGAATCCGGAATAGAAAATGAAAATAAGGTAGGAAAAGGGAAGAAATGTGGTATGAGATGGGGTGGACCGGACTGGCCGCTCTTAAACTCCCCGCGTGTGCAGCCCTGCATACGATCTATTCAGTAGACTAGCCATGGCGATGTAGATCCTGCCTGCTGACCTGATGGCCCGTTCATTGAAGTTTCAGTTAGAAGTGAGTGGCGCCGCCGCCCAAGCGTGAAACCGAGTTACTTCCATGGGTCAGTGACTGCGCGTGGCTGTTTAGCGAGGAGATGCGGACCAATGGGATCAAGATTGATTCGGGATGTCGGCGAGCACGGGTATAAACAGGATAAGTTATGCAACTATGAGGTGTGCCATGCGCCGTTATGGCCCAACCTATCAGCAATAAACAACCGCAGGACTCCATTTGGTGAAGTCAGTAAGTAATGCGTCCCAGGCATGTTTGCGTGTAATGGCGCACTTTGGCAGAAGGACGACAGCGCGCCTATGAGGGGGCTGTAACAAGTGGGGCGAGATCTGTTCCCCAATGCCCGACAAGGTCTCCATCGCGCAGTGTAACGGCTCAATGTGATCAAAACGATCAGACTGAAAGGCGTTTCGTTGTAGGCAGGATAGATGGTGCGCGCGTTTCGGACGAGTGACTCGCCATTCATACCCCAATGGGCGTTCGTACTGGATTCGGACCATCCTGATCACGGAGAGCTGTCCGACCATTCAACGGACACTCGTGGGCGCTGCACAACATCGACAACCGATCAAGCATCGCTTCGTCGAGTAAATTGAAGAGGGGCCCATATCGTCCGTATTAAGTGCTGAACCTTGCGAATGGACGTTCACGGGATGAGCCGGGTCTGTCTGCAAGGCGTTCATGATAATCCCAGCGGTATCTTGCCTGATATATCAACCTCTGGCGCATGCGCACACCGCGGTGAAGGGTCTGGGTCCACAATCTGAGCATGTCAGAGCGCCAAATCCGGATGCAAGTCTGCGCTATGTCCATGGTTTGCGAAGGAGCGACAAAGGTCAGAGATGTCGTGCGGTCAAAACGAGTCGTTGATACTTATGAGCTCGCGCTCTTCCTGTAGTGTCGTCTATAGATAGAGCCACCTTAGGTAGAGCTTGTGGGGACTTGCAGGGTCTCGACGACTAGGAATCCAGAACACGGAACGTTTGTTGACCCGTTTCAACGGAAGAAGAGAAGGCGCCCATCTGACTGTTGCTGTTGAACCGTCGCGGGGCGGTCGCAGGAGTCGTTCGGTTCCGGGATTCCGGCCCGAAACGCGTTTACTGCGCAATCGCGACGCGACGCACACGCGCCTGGCGCGCGCACGGTGCGCGTTTTGTTTCCGACGCTCTCCTGCCCTAGGCGGACGTCTTGAGTATCTCTTTCGCCAGATATAGTCTCCTGCTTGTCGCGCCGCTGTACTGAGAAGTAAAATCTCATGGCCTCGCATCCTCCGTCAGAGGCATCCTTCATTATGGTCGGGGCAGAGTCCCAGGTGTTGCCGGATCGACACGAACAGGTAGCGGCTAGAGATACGACGCTGAGAGCACAAGAGGCATGCGACAACTGTACACGTGCTCTGCTATGGTGCTGAACAGATCACAGCAGCCCCTCAAACACCACGCGTCCTACGAGCCTGGCTACAAAGTCGGCTCGACGCCATCTTACGCGCACGATTGGTCTTCCGCCGGCGTTGGCGGAAAGCTCAGCACCCATGGAAGGCACTTTGTAGACTCCTTCGGACGCGTGTGTCATCTGCGAGGCGTGAATATTTCCGGAAATAGCAAGGCGTACGTTCATCCATCCGAAGCATCTGCTTTGCCATAACCGCGATGAAGGCCAGTCAATCATGATCACGACACTTTCCCGGCTAATCACCACGGCGTAACATTTGTTGGGCGACCTTTCCCATTGAACGAAGCGCACGAACACCTTGCCCGGCTGCGGAGGTGGGGATTGACATTCGTGCGCGTATTGGTCACTTGGGAGGCTATCGAACACGAGGGACCGTAAGTCATATGTTACGTGCACTCAGTGATTGATTCTGAGCATCATTCCAGAGGAATATACGACAGGGATTATCTGGAGTATCTCCATACTCTCATATCACTCTTTCCCCTCTACGGCATCACATGCTTCGTGAATATGCATCAAGATGTCTGGTCTCGGTACTCCGGCGGATCCGGGGCCCCTGCTTGGACGCTCGACGCCGTAGGATTCGACTTGCATGCGCTTGAAGAGTCGGGTGCAGGTTGGCTCAAGGGAGTGCGCGGAGGAGGCCACATCGAGGCTGAACGCGGCCTGTGGCCTACCGGCTATCAAAAGCTCTCCGCAGCAACGATGGCGTAAATGTCATGCTTATACTAGATTGATCTTCGAACTCATGCTCCCGTAGGACACTGTTCTGGGCAGGCGATGTGTTCGCTCCAAAGTTACGGATACGTACACGGGAAGGCAAGGAAACGTCAGCCCAGCAGTTCCTACAGAATGCATTCTTGGATATGTGGGAGGTCGTTGCGCGTAGTCTGGGAGATCTTGACGCCGTACTCGGGTTTGAAGTTGGGAAGCCCATGAATCAGATACTTCCATCGCTGACCCTCCTATTCAGATCATGAATGAGCCACATCACGGATACATCAACTTGCCTTCTCTCCACGGCTTCAACTACAATACCGATCTTCACTTGGCACATGTCCGTACGTGAACGGCTTATCTCCGGCCATGCCCCGTCTGATCGTTCTACAGCGAGCGCTCTGCAATCCTTCATGCTGGGGTCAGGATACCCAACGGAAGTTGGCTTCTGGACACGGTCATTTCCTTTGCCGACTCGTCTTACGTCTACCAGCGTGCTGAACTCCACGAGCCGGAAGGCATGGCGCGAAGACGGCCCAACTGGTGGCCGCGACTTGTGGGAGATGCACGGCGTTTGGGGATACGATGTACAGAAGAAGATGGGCGTCGTCCTGCGCGAGAACTACTTCGTACGCGACCCCATGACGAACAAGCCTGTGAGTCTCAACCTCGAATTGTGGCGTATGCAGTGCTCATTGCGTCAAGGTTGACTACTACACTGACTTCTACTTCCCTTTCATCAATCGATGGACGAATCGAGTCAGGTCTGCGTCCAGTGCGACGTCTGACAAGTTCGTGTTCTGCGAGCCCATTCCGAACGAGGTACGCCACCTTACCCATGTTCTATACCGATCTCTCGCTCATCGTGAGACAGTTCTGCCCGCGATCGTGGGGACCGGTACAGCCTCCAGACATGATTTACGCGCCACACTGGTACGATCTGCGGGTCTTATTTGAGAAGGCGCATGGCGACTTCTCCGTGAATGTACAGGGCCTATCGCGAGTATGTAGCCCGAACTCTCCGAAATTCCATTCTAATCTCGCGTTCAGGGCATGTTTCTACCGAAAGCATTGTACTGGGGTATGTGATCCTCACGGGCTACGCAGAGTTCTGCTCTGGCCGTGCATATTGCTCATCTACTTGCAGGTCAGATAGGCGCGCGAGATAACGTATCGCTTCAGATACGGAACATCGTTGAAGAAGGCTACAAGTCACTCGGAGAGCGCCCTGTCGTTATCGGAGAATGCGGTTTACCGATGGACATGAAGTGCGTACTCGCCTTCTTAGGAGGGTCGCTGCTTCCTTGCTGATGCCGTACTCTATTTTCACTATCTCTTGACGTCAATGTACTTCTCTACCGCCACTTGTCCCACACAGCAAAGGCGAGGCGTTCAGAACCAATGACTTCAAGTGGCAAAGCCGGATGATGGATGCCATGATGACTGGGTTGGAGCGCTCGTTGGTCAATTTCACGTATGTTCCGGTTTCAT